CCTAGCTTTAACGCCCTCCCTCGTGGCAAACTTCTAACCCTCAAAACCCTAGCTTTAACGCCCTCCCTCGTGGCAAACTTCTAAGCCTCAAAACCCTAGCTTTAACGCCCTCCCTCGTGGCAAACTTCTAACCCTCAAAACCCTAGCTTTAACGCCCTCCCATCTGGAAGTTCTACTCATTCCTCCTTTTGACCCATTTCGGACCCATGGGGCTGGAGGGTCTGTGTCTGGCTGTCTCCCCTCCCCTGACCCTTGAGGGACATAACGGACAGAGAGCAGAAGCCTGTCAGGGGCCCTGACATCCCTAGGAAGGTCGACAATGCCTTTCTTCCTCCTCTTTCTCTCCCTTCGTCTTCCACCTCTACACCTTGGCTCAGGCAGTGCCCCAACCACAGCTCACCCAGGAAGGTCTGAGAGATGTACTCCGACACCTGGTTCCCAGAGCGGCTGGTTTCCGACAGGTGACTCAACTCGCGGTTCAGCATCCGCTTGAACTGAGAGAGGGGCAGGTGGTGAGGATGGGGTGATGGAATGGAGGGGCGGGGCGGGCAGGGAGGAGGGAGCGCTTTGGACGAAGCGGGCCTCACCTTGTTGGACGCCATCTCCCCCACAGAATGCCGAGTCTGCAGCGTCTCCAGCTGGTCCAAGCACCAGTCTAACTCTTCCAGCGTTTCCAGTGCCAGCCTCTGCCCTGTGTCCTCTGGGGACCCAGTGGGTCAGGGACCCTCCCAGCAGCGCTTCCCCCCCACCCCAGGCAGGGACCCTGAGGCATCACACTTGGTGCCTGGAGCCTCCAGATCTGTCCCTACAGGCCTGGGTCTCTGCCTCTCCCTGGCGTCAGCCTTCCATCTGCAAGCACTCTGGGGGCTCCATGGGGTGGGGAGGGCAGTGCATTGGGGTGGTAACAATTAGGACAATTAGGCGGGGAGATCTCCAGGAAGAGGAAGTTCAAGGCTGTGGGGGAGGGGAGGGGAACAAGTGTGTTACCTGTGGGCGGAGGTGGTTGACTAGCTGGTGGGGGGTTCCCACTGGATGGGGGGTTCCCACTGGATAGCCACCTGTGGGACAATTGTCTCAAAACCGGTCTGATCCCACCCCTGTAACCCTGCCCCAAATCCTCCAGGCTTCACCCCTCAATATGTCCCTCACCCCTGAATGC